TTGGTAATATGTAGCAGTCCAGATCTTTGCACATGTTCCCAATTACTCTAAACCTGTAATGATCCGACTTTTTCAGGTAATTTTACTACAGCCTTTCTTTTACTCTTTCTGTAATTAGAGAAATTTAAACCTTCATTTCTTAACGCTCTAATTAGTAATCTTGTTTTTTTTAATAAATATTTTTAGCTATACCCATCTAAATAAAAAAAAAATATTTATTACTTTATACAAAATAAGGTAGATATTTTATTTGCTTTAAATTTTAGATGAAATTTTTAAAATTTATCAGTGTTGCTAAATATTTTCTCCATGCATTATCTCACACACTTTATTACAGAAAGAAATTCTTAAATACAAAATAATTCTTACCTAATTTGCATTTTCAAACAACGATGGTTATTTAATATGCTTTTAATTTGCATTAGATGCTTATCAATTAACTTCACATTTTAAAACTTTAGCAACACCTTAATACTTTATATAAAGTTTAGGCCCCTCACCACAACCAACTTCATCGTTTGCAAATTAAATGATCTAGTTCTAATTCACTTCGTTTCTAACATAATTATTAATAATCATCATAATAATGTATTTACGTAGTGATATCATACGTGAATAATTTTCAATTTTATTTATGACATCATAAAAAGTCATGTTTGACAGTATTTATGACTTAACTTATCGTATTAAGTAAGAACAACAAACAGGTTGTGTTTTCTTCGTATAAATATATACAAAATTTATTTATTTTGTAAAGTAAAACTTTCTGTTGTAATTGGAAATATAAGTCCATTTATTGAATAATTGTCTGTCTTTATTTCAGATTTAATTATTTTAAAAATTACTTTGCACATGACTTAAATAATTAATTAACTGAAAACTATTTTGTCTTAGTAAATATGAGAGATTATAATTATGAAAATTTCATTGATATTTTTGCATCACGAATGATTAAGTTTATATTGTTCTTTTTACAATTACAAGTGATATTTTTAATATTAATAAAATAACATACACATTAACATTTTTTTTTCAAAAATAAAATAGATTTGTTATTTCTTTATTTGTAAGAAGTGTTTTTTTTTTTACTTTTTCTAAGAAAGATAAATGAGAATTCGTGTGTATGGACTTACATGTGGTCTTAATCCCAGAGTAATGGTGCATCATAGCCTGCATTATGCATCTTATAAGAATTGATTTGGATCTCATTAGGAACCATTACGCTTCTTAGTTTGCGATTTCTTACTTCGATTAGATATAATGGTTCTACAATAAACTTTACTTTTTGGTTAATAAACTAACAACAATTTCTTCAACGTTTGTTAACAAAATCTACTACTTAATGCAAGAATATATGACCTTATTTTAATTTTTTAAATCTGTAATTATGTTTTTCAAAATTACACTTAATAATAATACTAAATTACATATACAAGACAATTTTTATGATTATTAAAAGACGTTGGTTCAAATCTGATATATTTTTATACATGTATCTTGGATTCTTTCAAAGATTTAAGAATTAATATTAGAACTTTCACTAAAAGGTTAACAATAACATAATTTAATTATAAATTTATATTAATATCATACTTTCTTATTAACTTTTTAAAGTTATTAGACATAGAATTTTTTTTTCTAAATTAATGTTATTTTGTATAAACTTAATTATTATATAATATAGATTTAAAATTAAAATGATGATAATTTATGTAATTAAATAATTATTTTAATGCTTTAACTTGATTAAAATATAGTACATTATTATTTTAACTATAAAAATATATTTAAAACATTAAAAATTTGTATTTAAAATAAATTATTAAATGTGTAATATAAATTGCTTTGGTAAATATTTGAATGGCATAAATTATGAAAAACTTTAATGAATTTATTGTTTAAACCTTGACATATCTTACCACTTAATGGTAAGTTACATACATCATGTCATGTCATGCATTATTTGATCATGGAAAGCTGAAATTTTCTTTTTAGTAGAAATCATTTTCATCTATTTTTATTAAGAATTACAAAAATAAATTAAATAATTTAAATATTCTGTAAGAAAAGATTGAATTGGAGTGAGATTCGAACCCGCAACTTCTGCAACACATCTTCACAACAAGTTCCACTCCAAATCAATCTTTTCTTTCGGAATATTTAAATTATTTAATCTATTTCTAATTATTAAATCTAATACAATACAGCGCCTTGATCTTCTATTTTTAGTCCAAATAACGTAATATCTTTTTTATAATTAATTAGCCATATTATAGCCTATAATAATCCGGCGTTATCTAATGATTCATAATTGTTAGTTTTAAAGATTTAACCTGTATTAAAATGATTTTATTACACTTACACAAACACACACAAAGCACACATGTATAGTATAGTATACTCGTACATACAGTAGAGCATCGATTATCCGACCCCCGATTAACCGTCACCTCGGTTAACCGACCGTGTTCTAGTCGGCAAATTCAAATGTCCGCTAGTGATGTGGCGCTACAATATTTGGCTATGTCNAACTTAAAAACTTTTTAGTCGCTATTGTTTCGAAATATGACATTAATAAAAAAATATCCCATATATTTTATCAAACTAAAATGAGTGAGAAAAACATTCGTTACATTTATCAATTAAGATTTTTTTAATAAGATGTAATTTAATATGTCACATCTGCCATTATATTTTGTATCAATGTTATTTACTTCGATTCAATTTCATTGCAATAATGTGAATGTACTAGAAATAGGTTAGCTGTATTTGTGTTAACATTAAAATTATGAAAGGAAATTTGGATTATTCTATGGCAAGAGTAGAAACATAACTTTCGTTTATATATAAATATATTACGGAAATCCGTTATTAATTAAAATTTTGAGAAATTCATTAGAGAAATTTAATAATCATTACCTGAATTTTATTTATTTAGTTATTTCATTTTTGATAAAAAAATTTTCCTTGATATTTATTTTTCAGGGAAATAATGTATTGTTTTTTATCAAAGTGCTTGCAATTAGCCATTGTAAACGTTCATTGTTCAATTGAGTAATCGGAAATTCTTAATGGAAAAATAATAACTTTATAATGGATAGTTTTACAAAAAAGTTTTTGAAGAAGGTTAAAAAAAGTAAATAAAAATATAAAATTTACTACAAGAAACACGTTATGATAAGTTGAAGTTTTGACGTATTTTTGTGTATAATAATTATAGAACTTGTACAAAACCAGTCAACGGCCTTAAATTAACATAATAATGGATTTATAAATGTTGAGTGACATTAATTCTTTGGATTTAATATTTAAAATTTGATTGTGACAATCACTTTAAGAATTACCCTAATTTTTCACATTAAGTTATTTGCAGATATATAGTCATAAAACCAAATAAAACGAGCAATTATTTATTGTGACTTCGTCACAATGCCGGCCTGCAATTTTTAATCATATTTTTAATAATTTTTTTTAATTTAAAATATACGCTCTCCACCTCAAATTAGTAGTGTCTTACCCCTGTACATCATACTCTTCCTTTAAGAATAGAGTCGTGCGGGTCATCTATCTAACACCTTTCAGGGGAAAATGTTTGAATTGAAATAACGTGACTTTCGGTATAGACCGGAAGTTTGTATACAATTTATCTGGCCCTCCTGCTCCAATGTTTTCTATATCTGGTCTCGTCTTTCGTCTATTTTGTTCTCGAGATTAAGGAGAGAGACATACAGACAGACAGTGGGATTTTATAGGTCTTAACTTTTAGAAGATTTTTAAAATATAATAATTGTTTAAAATGGAGTCAAATTTCTTTATATTTTGTGAATTTTATTTTAAAATGCACAAATGTTTTTACTTTAAAACACATTTTTGCTATATTTTATAAAATTTTATTATTATTATTATTAATTTTATGATGCATGCGACTAAACTTATTTTCAATACATTCCAAACTACATAAAACTATTTTTGTAATATTATATTGCATGTCAAAAACATAAACCGAATAAAATATTCTCTGATTTTCCGAATCAACGCCATTATCTTCAAGAGAGTACTTTTTAAAACTAGTTTTTTTTTTCGAATTGAATATAAGAAGACTTTACCATTTATTTCTTATATAAATATACTTTTTAGCTTTATAGAATATTATAAAATATTAAAATAATTTTATATGCATAAAACCGTGAATTGTTAGAAAAAATAATCTACGAGATTTTTTAAAATATTTTTATGCTTTTTTGAAAGTACTAGAGCGTTATCTTTACTTTTTCTTTATATACTTGACGTTAAATAAATAAATAAAAATGGATGAAAAATTAAGTCAATGCAAAATAATGTGTTAAAAATTTAAATTTTTAGAAATAAATTTATAAATATAATTATTTTGATAAAATATTATCTTAATGAATTAATATATTTTATTATTATTATTAGTTTTTCATTGCTTTAAATACATTTAAATGTCTTTTCACTTAAAAATTTAAATGGCTTCTTTCATTAATTCTTTTCATAAATATTAAAGAAACTGTTATCATTATCGTCTTAATTCTTTGTTAAATGATTTCTTTGTGCTAAATTCTCCATTTTTTCCATTTATTTTAAATTTTTAATTAATTTCAAGTGCTTTGCGACAAAACAACAAAATATATGTTTAATTTTATTCTCAGGGGTTAAGTCTGATTAAAGTTTTCATTAATTGGATTTATATAATAATAAATAAATGAAATAAAATGCTAAAATAATGATATTACTTTTCAAATTATTTGAGATGTTTATTTAATGGTGATTAATCATAAACTTACGCTATTATTTAGACTATTGATTACATTAGAAACCAATTATGCATTGCTTAAAAGTAATTGATTTTGTTTGATTTTCGACAAAGATATTGTAATAAATTTGGATTAAACTACTGATATAAAGCATCAAAGTTTTCCTCGTTTTCTTCCTCTAAAATTATCACTGACGTTTGTCTGAGGTTTTATTAATTAATCTGAAGATAATCATTAGAACGATCGGTAATTAAGTAAAACACTTAAAACTAGCTTTTTGTTTATTTCTGAATGACACGAGACGAATGAAAAATGATAATACGCCTCTGCCAAAACAATCTTCGAACGCATTGGAAGATAGAAGTCACATGAATGCAACGTCACAGGAGAGAGTGTGTATATGCAGCGTTTAGGAAACACTCGATCGCAGTGACCGAGAAAACTTTATTGGAAGTGTGTCAGTGACAGTATCTGTTTCAAAAAATAACAATAACAATGAAGGAATTGACGCCTACTACAGGAGTGTTTTCAATTAATTGCGATGGAAATATACTGAATGTGACTAAAGCTAAAGAAGAACTCCTCAAGTTATTAATGAACTCGACTATTAGAAATTGTATCAAATCAATTTACAATCAATCATTTCAGTTAGGTCTGCCGCCAGAATTAGACTTGGGACCTAAGAGAGATCCATTAACAACTGTTATATCTATGACAATAGTGTACGCTTTAATATTGGTTGCCGGATTAATAGGTAATATTTGTACTTGTGTAGTGATATCTCGTAATAAGTACATGCATACAGCAACTAATTATTATCTATTCAGTCTTGCTATATCGGATCTTCTGTTATTGGTACTAGGATTACCACAGGAGATGTATCAGATATGGGTGAACTATCCTTATATATTCGGAGAGGAATTTTGCATATTTAGAGGACTCACTTCCGAAATGTCTACTAATGCTTCGATTTTAACTATCACAGCATTTACTGTAGAACGTTATATGGCAATATGTCACCCTTTAAAAGCGCATACTATGTCAAAATTAAATAGAGCCATCAAAATTATCATTGCTATCTGGTTATGTGCAGCAGTTTGTGCTGCTCCACTTGCTGCACAACTAGGAATTATCTATTCTGAATTTAATGATGAGCCCATTCTTGAAAGTGCTCGTTGTAATATTAAAAGGGCATTTAGTCATTCGTTCGAAATATCGACCTTTGTCTTCTTTATCCTACCGATGACAGTTATTTCTGTTTTGTATGTTCTCATAGCACTCGAACTTCGTCGTACGTCAGTTGTTAGTCGTATCAACTCGGAAACATCTTCAAATGGAGTGACAACTCCGTTGACAAGAATTAAATCTAGAAGGAAAAAAATACGTTCAAATAATCAGTCATCTAGAAGAGATGTTGTCAAGTTGTTAGGTAAGTCTCAATTTATGAGTATTATTATTTAATAAAAAAAATGGCTTTGACCTATAATATCAGGATAAATAAATGTATCGTTTTATTATTAAAAGAAATAAGAACAATAAATTAAATAATATGAAGTAATTGGCGCAAAATTATTCAGGATTATTTTTTAAGAGAAAATTATTTCTTTGTGCATAAATATATATATAATTTAAATTTGTAAGAAAATAATTTTTATAACATTTTTAATGACAAAGTTTGAATTTTATAAATCACTACACAATAAAATGTAATAATAATTAAATTGCTTTATTAAAAATAACATTTTTCAAGACTTTTTCTAAAAGAAACCATTTAAAAATTTCTATAGAATAATTTTAATGATTTCTTTTAATTATTAAAATTATTCTATAGAAATTTTTTAATTGTTTTAAGAAAAATTTTAAAGCATAATGAATCAATCAAAACACAATATTATTATTATTGAGTTTTAAAAAATTACATTTTGTTTTAATTGATTGATTTTTATTATTTTTAAATTTTTTCATAAAACAAAATTATTCTATAGAAATTTTTAAATGATTTCTTTTAGAAAAAGTCTTGAAAAAAGTTATTTTTAATAAAGCAATTTAATTATTATTACATTTTATTGTGTAGTGATTTATAAAATTCAAACTTTGTCATTAAAAATGTTATAAAAATTATTTTCTTACAAATTTAAATTATATATATATTTATGCACAAAGAAATAATTTTCTCTTAAAAAATAATCCTGAATAATTTTGCGCCAATTACTTCATATTATTTAATTTATTGTTCTTATTTCTTTTAATAATAAAACGATACATTTATTTATCCTGATATTATAGGTCAAAGCCATTTTTTTTATTAAATAATAATACTCATAAATTGAGACTTACCTAACAACTTGACAACATCTCTTCTAGATGACTGATTATTTGAACGTATTTTTTTCCTTCTAGATTTAATTCTTGTCAACGGAGTTGTCACTCCATTTGAAGATGTTTCCGAGTTGATACGACTAACAACTGACGTACGACGAAGTTCGAGTGCTATGAGAACATACAAAACAGAAATAACTGTCATCGGTAGGATAAAGAAGACAAAGGTCGATATTTCGAACGAATGACTAAATGCCCTTTTAATATTACAACGAGCACTTTCAAGAATGGGCTCATCATTAAATTCAGAATAGATAATTCCTAGTTGTGCAGCAAGTGGAGCAGCACAAACTGCTGCACATAACCAGATAGCAATGATAATTTTGATGGCTCTATTTAATTTTGACATAGTATGCGCTTTTAAAGGGTGACATATTGCCATATAACGTTCTACAGTAAATGCTGTGATAGTTAAAATCGAAGCATTAGTAGACATTTCGGAAGTGAGTCCTCTAAATATGCAAAATTCCTCTCCGAATATATAAGGATAGTTCACCCATATCTGATACATCTCCTGTGGTAATCCTAGTACCAATAACAGAAGATCCGATATAGCAAGACTGAATAGATAATAATTAGTTGCTGTATGCATGTACTTATTACGAGATATCACTACACAAGTACAAATATTACCTATTAATCCGGCAACCAATATTAAAGCGTACACTATTGTCATAGATATAANCAAAGATTACGTTTCAGTAAAGATAAATTGACGTTATAGAAAGTGCTGTTTCTCCTTCTCTATCTTTCCATTCGTTTTGCTACGTTGCGATTGATGATATGCAAATTGTTAAATTATCTAAAATTAACCATAAACCGAATAAAATTAATTTAAATATTCAAACATGGAATGATGTTGATACTTAATCTATTGAATTTTCTATAATAACTTGATTTGGACTAAGTAAATGTTTTATAATTAGTTAAAGAGACTCTCTTATTTCATTTTTTTGTGTGTATGTATAATACACAATTGATAGAATAGTAGAGGATAAATCACTACTGTTTAAGAAAATACTTGATTTTATTAGAGAAGGCAGAATAATATATCAATACATTTCCAGATATTCGTTGTTTCTTTATTCTGTTATAGAAGAAAGGTTTCAATTGATTAATCATGATTCCTTGTTGGTTTGTGCAGCTGGTAAAGTTCCAAAAAATCTTGTTTATTTCTATTTTATTTACTATAAAGATCAATATAGATATGAAATATATGTTCTTGAAAATAATAATCGTTCCTTGTATTTATTTAAACTGTGAAATAATCTTTAGGACATTAAATTAAAATTAATTTTAATATATTAAAATATACTAAGATTGATATAAGTTACATATATATATTGAAGATGCATTCATTTTATCTAGGAGCGCATATTTTTAAATCCTTTCCGCTGTAAGATTGCTATACCAAGTTCATTTATAAACGGTAATACAAATATATATATATATATATAACTTCTCGTTTATTTAAATTGAAAAAATGCCATTCCACATTCCAAAGTTTAGAATTTGGTTTTGAAAATTGCTTTGCACTACTATATTAAATGTTGAAATAATTTTCTCTAGGATTAAATTTTAAACGTTTATAGATTATTTAAATATTTTATTTTATATTTCTAGTTTTTAAATTACTTTTTAATTGTTTTATTGAATATTTAGAATGTTAAGGTATATCTAACAGGAAATGCGTGTATTTGAATGTTTAAACATGATGCCTTTGCAAACGTTTGTGTTACAAGTCAGAGTAGACTTAATAAAAATTTTTAAAATAAAAAAATAAAAATTGAACAAAAATATCGATTTTTAGATTAAAACTTTATTCTAAAAAATTTGCATATATTTAAAAAAGAATATAAAAGCGTGGAACATAACATTTTATAGCTGTAATTGGTTTGGAAATAATCTCAATTACTATGGAGTATAATCAATTCTCATTTTAATTCATTCTCATATGATTGTATGGAGTTAAATTAAAACCTATTTTTATGAGTAAAACTAACATTAAAATGTTTTTTTTTTAAATTTTAACTTTATTTTAAAAAAGAAGTTTATATTATACACGTATAATTTATTTATAAATATAATTACATTGTTATAATAAGTCACATAAGTATTTTCTACCTAAAACGTTTCACAATTATTCAAAATTAAGAGGAAAATGTGACACTTCTAACATGACATTAAGATTTAATAGCTTCATTTATATGCAATATTTTTTTTCTTACATTTAAAAATTATTTAAACTAATTTCTTTAGTTAGTTTTAAACGTAGACACGTAATGGATATAATTACAACACAAAGAAGTTTTATATATTTTAAAGTGTAATAATTGAATTATATAAATTTTTCTAAATGTTTCCTGCTCAATATCGTTTATAATAATATTTTTATTGAAATAATTCAGCTTTTCAACTCACGTCATAAAATTTTGCATTCATTTATATCGGATTTCCGCATTATTCTAAAATTTATAGCCGAAAGGTTTATATTATATAATATAAATCTATTTTAATAAATCAACTAAT